TGAGCCCAGAGCTCCCGTCCCTCCACACAGAGCAGACTGTGTTCCTGATGGGGCTCAGTGTGGTCACACGTGAGCAGAGTCCAGACTCGGGCAAGTTTCTCTATGAGCAGGAAAGGAGAACCATCTTCTTCCCGTTAAAAACCTCTGTTCCTGTCGACTTTAAGAGGCCACACATCAGCCTCAAAATAGTGTTGGTCCTTGGAAAATGTGTTTCAGCAGTGAGCGGTGAGGAAAGTTGTCACACAGGAGGGTGGGAAGGCTGTGAACTTTCACAGGAAGATAGAATGTGTTTCTGAGGTTGAGTTTGTGCGTTTCTGTGGGGTGACTGGGGTTTGAGCACAGGAGTGTCATTCTTACCAGCTTCAACTTTCATTCAACTACATTTGCTCTGGGACTGAACTCAGGTGGACTAATACGGACAGATAATCCAACACAGAAAAACAGCTCCTTTAAAACGAATTAATCAACCACTGTGGTATTTCGAAATGCCCAGTGTTTATGGTTTGCTCTTTTACAATTGTACTGCGTTCCCACGTATATCCAGCAGAGGGCAGTCTAGCACTAGTTTTAAAGTAGTTGAGTTCCACTGAGCTAGAGGAGCTCCGTGAAGCTGGCCCCCCTACTGACAGCACAAACGATGAAACCCACCTCATTCGTTAGTGCTACGTTTGTGCCGTTGAAAGTAGCGTTTGTGCTGCTTTCGTTTCCGAGATATAGCGCCTTGTTTTTTTTCCCAAGTAATCACGTGACTATCTACAAGGACGTTTACAGGTACCAACAAATTCGGTACTTTGCAGCTTTTACAGGAATTACATTTAGGGAGGAGTTACCATGTTAGTTCATTGGGTTAGGTGTTTTCTTTTAATTTTTTATAATGTTCTCGAAAATATATTGGTTTTGTACTCCTTTCATTGGTGAAGAGACACCAGTTTCCAAATTACCGCTGTTACAACTCGAGAGCCCATATTCACATTTGTAGGTATTAGTTTCAAGATCGATATAATTTAATATAATAAAAAACAAAATTGAAAGCACGAGCATAATAATATAATTATCATAGACTTTACATTTCTATTCATTTTTTAAGTACAAAGCAGAAGGTGTTTCCCCTACCTTAAATATAGAAAAATATTTCGAAGAGTACGGGACATTGTTTATCAATAAAGACGTTAAAAGAAGCCGATGTAGTTATTTTGCAAATAAGTAAAGCATTTTAGAAATAGGTACTCATTGACAGTAAACAAGCCGATCTTCCTGGCGC